CTTGCCATGAAAGGTGGGAATGATTTTTCTTTGAGTTAAGAAATTATAAATTACTCTGAGAAAAGTCCAGTTATGGTCTGGTAGGTCAATGAGTTTGTATATAAGGCCATCATGCCATAAGCTATCAAAAGCTTTATGAACATCTCTGGTGGCAATTAAGGCAAGATTGCCCTGATGTTTTAGACTTGCTACAGTGTCAAAAATAACATTTATTGCATGATTGGTACCTCTATGTGTTCTAAAGCCAAATGTTTTTCAGTTAAACAAGTGATTAAACTCCATATAGTAGTTCAATCTGTTGGAAATGACTTTCTCAAGAACTTTTCCAGTGACTTCAAGTAAAGATATAGGTCTATAGTACCAGGTTGGTGGGATGTCTTTATTGGGCTTAGCAAGAAAGATCATCCTAGCAGTCTTAAAAACAACTGGAAAATGTCCTGAGGCCAAGATGGCTATTAAAGATATTTACCAAGGACTGTTTGCAATTTCTAGGTAGGTACTTTATTTGTTTCATTGTTATTCCAGAGAGGCCAGGGGCTCTATTTCTCATTCTTCCAATAACCTGACTTATCTCTAGTAATGTAATAGGTCTAGTAAGCGGGTGGGTATCTTCAAGAGTTGAAGTATCGATGGTAGGTAGTGGTTGTAGATCATCCAAGTTCTCATCTCTCCATTCATTTACTAACTGATAATGATTATTATTAAATTGGCGACTGTTATTGTGGGAGAGAATTTTCTCCCATAATCACCATCAAATTAGCCTGGTCCTGTGATCGTCAAGTTTAATTTCAACATCTTCATCATCCTCATCAGTGAAGGTATGAACTAGGTAGTTAGGAACCTTGTGCTTTCCCCCTAAAAGTTGTCGGATCCAAAATTTACATTTACTTATATTTCTTGAAGAACTAGAAATTGTCTTTCTGTTGACTATCATTTATTAATTCGTGCCTTAATCGGTGCAGTGTAGCTACTGGTGGTTGTCGCGTATGAAGATGCCTTCGACATTCTGCTTGATAATTTCTTAAAGTGTCTCTAATTTCTCTAGTAGGTTTATATTGTTGGTATATCTTTGTGGAAGCTAATTGGCAAGTTGCATTGGTAGCTTCAATTATTCGATTGTGCAGGGACCTGATTGCATCATCAATTGCACTGGAAGGTAGATTTTCCAAAGACACAATTTCATCCTCACCCAGATATGCCCTGAAGGGGTCCTGACTACAGTATACAAGCCACTTCTCCAGCCATATACTGTACTTTCTACAAGACTGATGGACTGAATACATCGATTCCAGGTTGATGGACTGATTACCTCAAACTCCTCCTCTCTTTTCATCTTTGTATTGGACTGATGAAGCCACTGTGTGGCGAAACGTTTCCTAAATAAAGATTCCCATATGCTTCAAGACCTTTACTGATACACGCCTTCCACTTATACACTTCAATCCTGTCTCCCTTCAGGCTTCGTCTTATAAGTGAATGTAATTTAAGGGACTTCAATCTATCTTTATACGGAAGATTTCTAATTCTTCGCTGAATATTTTCTAATGAATTTATATCCATTCTGTAATAGGGAAACCAGAACTGAGTTGTATAATCCAGGTGAGGCCTTACTAATGATGTATAAAACTGTAGTATAACCGCTGTACTTCTGCTGCTTGCACTTCTTGATATAAATCCCAGTAATCTTATTACGTACGCTTAGGTATTGCTGTCTGGCTTAAAGCTGCTGCTCACCATAACCCCTAAGTCCTTTTTGCATTCATCATGGCTAAGTTGTACATAAGTTTATAAGCGCTAGGGATATGTTGGATCTCTGAAGGATTTGCCCAATATTGGCCAACAGGCCTACTGCAGTGTTCTTCCTTTCTTATGTTTTTATTCCCGAGCTTCAGAACCTTGCATGTGTCAACACTAACTGCATCTGCACTCTTCTGACCATGAACTGAGTTTGTCTAAATCCTCCTGAAGTTCCGTGACATCTACGTCTGAATCGATTATCCTACCTATCTTCGTGTCATCTGCGAATTTGCTCATATCACTAGTAATTCCCTCGCCAAGGTCTTTAATATATATTATAAACAACAACGGGCCCAAAACTGATCCCTGTGGAACGCCACTTGTTACAGATCCACACTCAGATTTTACCTCATTTAGGCACACTCTTTGCTTGGTTAGCCATGACTCGATCCATGACAGCACTTTTTTTTCCAGTGCCGTGAGCTGCCACTTTCTTTAACAGTCTCTGGTGAGGTACTATATCAATAGCCTTACTAAATTCAAATGAACAATACCGAATTCTTTATCGTGATCAACGGCCTCAAAAGCTTTACTGAAGAGAGTTATTAAATTAATTCGGCAGGAAGGGCCCCTTGTGAATCCATGCTGACTACCATTAATCAAAGTATGCTTATCAAGATGGCTTTTTATAATATCAGCTATAATTGACTCTAACAATTTGCCTACAATTGAGGTCAGGCTTATTGGGCGGTAATTTGACGGTAACGACTTGTCTCCTGCTTTAAAAATAGGAATTGCATTAGCCATCTTCCACATATAAGAAACTACACATGCATACCTGGAGTTTGCCTGGAGAGAGTTCGGGGGTCAACGCCCCCGCGGCCTGGGGGGATCAGGGCCTATCAACCAGCTGTACTGTCGCCGCACTCAATCCGATGCTTACATCCACAGCTCGGCTGGTGTTTGATTAAGGTGCCTGATTCAATTGCTGCTTGAAGAACCAGGGGTCTAATTGGTACTCACCTTTGTAGGCGGAGGAATAGTTGAACGGTCTTGGCCCCTGCACTTATTGTTGTTGCTCTCTTATCGTGCTAGTGGCACCCTGCATTTATTGGGAGGATGTTGGGCAACGTCCCGCGAGTGGTTTGCTCTCATAGGGCTGATTCAGTGTGCAATTTCGGTACTCAATCCCTTTAGGATTCCAAGTGTTATCTAGAAGATATATAAAAATGACAATTAACGGTCCATGTTCATTTTGCACTCGCTTAACTTGAAAAGCTCACAGAGCCAGGGATTTATTTTGGTCATGTCGACCTTTTGTACATACACGAAGTTGACTCTGTATGACATCATTTTATTCTTTCAGGCAAACCCTCTTAAAATATTGTGGAATATTGGTCTGCCCAGTGTTGAAATCAAGGAAATAATTATTAAATCGATGTACACCAACTTTGTTATCTCTATTATGAGGATTTCACCAACTATGTATATCTATGTAGATGATATCACAACTATTTATCTCCATGTAATGGCATCACCAATAGTTCTCCATGTGTTGCACTCTAACTAGTACTCCTTATGAGCATCACAACTTGTTATCATCCATGGAGTGAGTATCCCACTATGTTATGTCTCATGTAGTGACATCACCATAGTTATCTCATGAACGTGAGTATCACCAACTATGTATCTCATGAGTGAGTATCACAAATTGTATCTCATGTAGTGAGTATCACCAACAGTTATCTCCATGTAGTGATATCACACTATGTTATCTCCATGTGTGAGATCACCAACTATGTTATCTCAGTAGTGAGCATACCACTATGTATCTCATGAAGTGAGTATCACCAACTATGTTATCTCATGTAGTGAGTATCACCAACTATGTTATCTCCATGTAGTGAGTATCACCAACTATGTTATCTCCATGAAGTGAGTATCACCAACTATGTTATCTCCATGTAGTGAGTATCACCAACTATGTTATCTCCATGAAGTGAGTATCACCAACTATGTTATCTCCATGTAGTGAGCATCACCAACTATGTTCAACTCAGAGTCAGAACTTGAGTAGCACATCATGTTGACAGGTCGGTGTCTGGCAGCGCTGTAGTGATCGTGATAACTTTCCAGCCTTATATAGTTTACAACATATTACCTAGTATTTAAAAGTCACAATTGGTGGTACAGGTGACATGCGCCTTAATGACCCTCTTGTTGTCAAGGGCTTTCAATTATCCAACCAACAATCCAATTAACGAACGAATGAACTAACCTAGCAATGAACCAACTATCCAATGAACCAAATATCCAGCGGACATCAACCAAATTTTCAAATGGGTCACTCAAAACAATATGAAGTTCAATGAAGAGAAATTTCAACTGCTGTGATATGGAAAACTTGAGTAAATTAAAACTGTATCAGGGTATACGACAAGTTCTAACTATACAATAGAGCGAAAAAGTAATGTGAAGAATCTGGGAGTGATAATGTCAGAAGATCTCGCCTTCAAAGATCACAACAATGTACTACCGCATCTGGTAAGAAAATAATGGGATGGATAACGAGAACCTTCAAAACTAGGGGACGCCAAGCTCATGATGATTCTCTTCAAATCGCTTGTTCTCTCTAGGCTGGAGTACTGCTGTATACTAACTGCCCCCTTCAAGGCAGGTGACATTGCTGACTTGGAGAATACAAAAACGAACTTTCATGGCACACGTAAGTACGATAAGGCGTCTAAATTACTGGGAACGGTTGAAGCCCCTTTATTTGTATTCCCTGGAACGCAGGCGAGAAAGATACAAGATAATATAAACTTGGAAAATCCTAGAGGGATTTGTACCAAACTTGCACACGAAAATCACTCCATATGAAAGCAAAAGACTCGGTAGGAGATGCAACATTCCCCCAATAAAAAGCAGGGCCTCCACGAGTACACTGAGAGACAACACAATAACTGTCAGGGGCCTAAAACTGTTCAACTTCCTCCCAGAATTCATATGGGGGATTACCAATAGACCCCTGGCTGTCTTTAAAAAAGCACTGGACAACCACCTAAAGTCAGTACCCGACCAGCCGGGCTGTGGCTCGTACGTCAGTTTGCATGCTGCCATCAGTAACAGCATGGTTGGTCAAACCCTGATCCACCACGAGACCTGGTCTTAGACTGGGCTGCGGGGGGAGGGGTTTGACCCCGAAACCCTCTCCAGGTATCCTCCAGGTATACTCCAACCAATTAACCAACGAATCTACCATTTTCGTTTACAAGAGACCAGGAGAGATGTAGCGGCAAGTATGATGTGGCAACCTTGAGCGGGTATATAAGGCAGGTGAAGCTAGGTGGCGTCTAGTGTGTGTACAGCAACAGTGGTGGTTGTTCTGTCATCAAATCTTCTTATATATACTATGATGAGGTACGTGACGATTGTTATTCTATTGTAAAATTTACCTCGTCTCTGTGACACCTTACAAGTCCATGTTTAACATTTATGTTTTAGTTTTTAAGAAGCAAAATAAAAAGCAGCAATATTATTACATTTACATGAAGGTGTAAACACAAGAGATTAAGCGCAGTTACAACTGTAGCCGGAAAAATTTCTCTTGCGAATTTATGTAATTTAATGGCGGTTAAAACGTCACTGGCGACCCACCGGAATATCGAACTTTGCAACAAATATTGTTATAGTTAGGTCGGGCAGACCTGATGTAAATTTTATTAAGAGTGTGTTGGCTGATTTAAAGTGACTTCAACGCTGGTCACTGAGCAAGTTACACTCCCAGTATCACTAAACAAGTTACACTCCCAGTATCACTAAAAAGTTACACTCCCAGTATCACTGAGCAAGTTACACTCCCAGTATCACTAAACAAGTTACACTCCCAGTATCACTAAACAAGTTACACTCCCAGTATCACTAAACAAGTTACACTCCCAGTATCACTAAAAAGTTACACTCCCAGTATCACTGAGCAAGTTACACCTCCCAGTATCACTGAACAAGTTACACTCCCAGTATCATGAACAAGTTACACTCCCAGTATCACTGAACAAGTTACACTCCCAGTATCACTGAACAAGTTACACTCCCAGTATCACTGAACAAGTTACACTCCCAGTATCACTGAACAAGTTACACTCCCAGTATCACTGAACAAGTTACACTCCCAGTATCACTGAACAAGTTACACTCCCAGTATCACTGAACAAGTTACACTCCCAGTATCACTGAACAAGTTACACTCCCAGTATCACTGAACAAGTTACACTCCCAGTATCACTGAACAAGTTACACTCCCAGTATCACTGAACAAGTTACACTCCCAGTATCACTGAACAAGTTACACTCCCAGTATCACTGAACAAGTTACACTCCCAGTATCACTGAACAAGTTACACTCCCAGTATCACTGAGCAAGTTACACTCCCAGTATCACTGAGCAAGTTACACTCCCAGTATCACTGAACAAGTTACACTCCCAGTATCACTGAACAAGTTACACTCCCAGTATCACTAAACAAGTTACACTCCCAGTATCACTAATTTAGACACATGTACAACATCTGGGTATCTTTATTGTAGACGTTTCGCCATCCAGTGGCTTTATCAATACAAATTAAAGGACATAAATAGAAGACAGTAGAACTATGTACGGTGTTGACAGTGTTGTCAATGTTATTGTCAGTGTTGCCAGTGTTGAAAGTGTTGTTAGTGTTATTAGTGTCAGTGTTCGTGTTAGTGTTGTCAGTGTTGTCAGTGTTGACGGTGTTGTCAGTGTAGACGGTGTTGTCAGTGTAGACGGTGTTGTCAGTGTTGACGGTGTTGTCAGTGTAGACGGTGTTGACGGTGTAGACGGTGTTGTCAGTGTAGACGGTGTTGTCAGTGTTGACGGTGTAGACGGTGTTGTCAGTGTAGACGGTGTTGTCAGTGTTGACGGTGTTGACGGTGTTGTCAGTGTAGACGGTGTTGTCAGTGTAGACGGTGTTGTCAGTGTAGACGGTGTTGTGCCGGAGAATCGCTCCTTCAAGACTTTATTTCACAATGGATATTTTTTGTGCACACTAATGGATGTACGTATGGTTGTACTCGCGTGTGCACACTAATGGATGTACGTATGGTTGTACTCGCGTGTGCACACTAATGGATGTACGTATGGTTGTACTCGCGTGTGCACACTAATGGATGTACGTATGGTTGTACTCGCGTGTGCACACTAATGGATGTACGTATGGTTGTACTCGCGTGTGCACACTAATGGATGTACGTATGGTTGTACTCGCGTGTACTCACCTAGTTGTACTCACCTAGTTGAGGTTGCGGGGGTCGAGTCCGAGCTCCTGGCCCCGCCTCTTCACTGATCGCTACTAGGTCACTCTCCCTGAGCCGTGAGCTTTATCATACCTCTGCTTAAAGCTATGTATGGATCCTGCCTCCACTACATCGCTTCCCAAACTATTCCACTTACTACTCTGTGGCTGAAGAAATACTTCCTAACATCCCTGTGATTCATCTGTGTCTTCAGCTTCCAACTGTGTCCCCTTGTTACTGTGTCCAATCCCTGGAACATCCTGTCTTTGTCCACCTTGTCAATTCCTCTCAGTATTTTGTATGTCGTTATCATGTCCCCCCTATCTCTCCTGTCCTCCAGTGTCGTCAGGTTGATTTCCCTTAACCTCTCCTCGTAGGACATACCTCTCAGCTCTGGGACTAGTCTTGTTGCAAACCTTTGCACTTTCTCTAGTTTCTTCACGTGCTTGGCTAGGTGTGGGTTCCAAACTGGTGCCGCATACTCCAATATGGGCCTAACGTACACGGTGTACAGGGTCCTGAATGATTCCTTATTAAGATGTCGGAATGCTGTTCTGAGGTTTGCTAGGCGCCCATATGCTGCAGCAGTTATTTGGTTGATGTGCGCTTCAGGAGATGTGCCTGGTGTTATACTCACCCCAAGATCTTTTTCCTTGAGTGAGGTTTGTAGTCTCTGACTCCCTAGACTGTACTCCGTCTGCGGCCTTCTTTGCCCTTTCCAATCTTCATGACTTTGCACTTGGTGGGATTGAACTCCAGGAGCCAATTGCTGGACCAGGTCTGCAGCCTGTCCAGATCCCTTTGTAGTTCTGCCTGGTCTTCGATCGAGTGAATTCTTCTCATCAACTTCACGTCATCTGCAAACAGGGACACCTCAGAGTCTATTCCTTCCGTCATGTCGTTCACAAATACCAGAAACAGCACTGGTCCTAGGACTGACCCTGTGGGACCCGCTGGTCACAGGTGCCCACTCTGACACCTCGCCACGTACCATGACTCGCTGCTGTCTTCCTGACAAGTATTCCCTGATCCATTGTAGTGCCTTCCCTGTTATCCCTGCTTGGTCCTCCAGTTTTTGCTCCAATCTCTTGTGTGGAACTGTGTCAAACGCCTTCTTGCAGTCCAAGAAAATGCATCCACCCACCCCTCTCTCTCTCGTCTTACTGCTGTCACCATGTCATAGAACTCCAGTAGGTTTGTGACACAGGATTTCCCGTCCCTGAAACCATGTTGGCTGCTGTTGATGAGATCATTCCTTTCTAGGTGTTCCACCACTCTTCTCCTGATAATCTTCTCCATGATTTTGCATACTATACATGTCAGTGACACTGGTCTGTAGTTTAATGCTTCATGTCTGTCTCCTTTTTTAAAGATTGGGACTACATTTGCTGTCTTCCATGCCTCAGGCAATCTCCCTGTTTCGATAGATGTATTGAATATTGTTGTTAGGGGTACACATAGCGCCTCTGCTCCCTCTCTCAATACCCATGGGGAGATGTTATCTGGCCCCATTGCCTTTGAGGTATCTAGCTCACTCAGAAGCCTCTTCACTTCTTCCTCGGTTGTGTGCACTGTGTCCAGCACTTGGTGGTGTGCCCCACCTCTCCGTCTTTCTGGAGTCCCTTCTGTCTCCTCTGTGAACACTTCTTTGAATCTCTTGTTGAGTTCTTCACATACTTCTCGGTCATTTCTTGTTGTCTCTCCTCATTCCTTCCTTAGCCTGATTACCTGGTCCTTGACTGTTGTTTTCCTCCTGATGTGGCTGCACAACAGTTTCGGGTCAGATTTGGCTTTCGCTGCTATGTCATTTTCATATTGTCTTTGGGCCTCCCTTCTTATCTGTGCATATTCGTTTCTGGCTCTACGACTGTTCTCCTTATTCTCCTGGGTCCTTTGCCTTCTATATTTCTTCCATTCCCTAGCACACTTGGTTTTTGCCTCCCTGCACCTTTGGGTAAACCATGGGCTCATCCTGGCTTTTTCATTAATCCTGTTACCCTTGGGTACAAACCTCTCCTCAGCCTCCTTGCATTTTGTTGCTACATATTCCATCATCTCATTAACTGGCTTCCCTGCCAGTTCCCTGTCCCACTGAACCCCGTTCAGGTAGTTCCTCATTCCTGTGTTGTCCCCTTTCTTGTAGTTTGGCTTCATTCGTCCTGGCCTTCCTGCTTCTCCCTCCACTTGTAGCTCTACTGTGTATTCGAAGCTTAAAACCACATTGTCACTGGCCCCAAGGGGTCTTTCATATGTGATGTCCTCGATATCTGCACTACTCAAGGTGAATACTAAGTCCAGCCTTGCTGGTTCATCCTCTCCTCTCTCTCTTGTAGTGTCCCTTACGTGTTGGCACATGAAGTTTTCCAGTACCACCTCCATCATCTTAGCCCTCCATGTATCTTGGCCCCCATGTGGGTCCAAGTTCTCCCAATCGATCTCCTTGTGGTTAAAGTCACCCATGATCAGGAGCTTTGCCCTGCATGCATGAGCTCTTCTGGCCACTCTAGCCAGTGTGTCAACCATCGCTCTATTGCTCTTGTCATACTCTTGCCTTGGCCTCCTGCTGTTCTGTGGTGGGTTATACATCACTGCTATTACCACCTTGGGACCTCCAGAGTGAAGTGTTCCCACTATGTAATCACTTTCTTCTCCGCTGTCTCCTCTCTCCAGCTCATCAAAATTCCAGCGATTTTTGATCAGCAACGCCACTCCTCCACCCCCCCTGTTCCCTCTGTCTTTCCTCAGGATTTGGTATCCCGTTGGAAAGATGGCATCTGTTATCATACCTGTAAGCTTGGTTTCTGTGAGAGCTATGATGTCCGGTGATGCTTCTTTGACTCTTTCATGCCACTCCTCCCACTTATTTGTTATTCCATCAGCGTTTGTGTACCATACCTTCAGTTTCCTTTCCAACACTGTGGTTTGGGGGGCCTGTGAGGGTGGGAGACCTGATGGCATACTGTGGGATTCTATAGCTCGGTGTTGGGTGGAGGCTGTGGGTATGGATTGTAGTGTGTGTTGGGATGGTGTGATAGGTTGTATGGTTCTGACAATAGTTGTGTGTGTGCTTGCCCTTGCTGTTCTGTTCTGCTCTGACTGACCTCTGC